AAGTGGCGCTGTGGCTCAAGTGGTAGAGCGCTAGCCTTGAGCTGAAGAGCTGAGGGACAGCACTCAGGCCCAGAGTTCAGGCCCCACGACTGGACCCAAAAAAAAAAAAAAAAAAAAAGATTCAGTAAGAAAAGGTGCATTTCCCATCATCAAGAGCTGGTAATGCAATTTGATAAGATTATTAGACCCAGCTCCTTCCAGGCCTGCTCTGTTATCAATTACACAAGGTAGCTGTTGAAGCTCTAGGGCCAGACCACAGGAGACTGATGCCTTCATAGTGACTTTTTAAAAACAAACATCTAGTTGGGCTTATTGTCAACAATTCTGTGACATTTTGCTCCTCAGGCTGAGTATGTTCACTAGATGGCCAAAGCCAGCTGCTATTTTTTCTGTGAAGTCAGACATTATACAGAATTTCATATCCTGTGAAAGCACTTTGTATAGGAAGCACAAAGATTAATTACGAGAGAAAAAGTTGTCCTGAGGGAGATAACACTTCCAGAAGGAGTATAGGAAACACATTTTATTTGCATAACCCCTCTTCTGAGATATAATTGACTTAAAAGAAACTAAATTGTAGTATGGTAAGTTTTAATGTTTGATCCATAAAAACTATCATTCCACTTTTGATCATAAACTTACCTTTTATAGTCTTCCCTTTTCCTATCCCCCTATTTGCTCTTTTAGGTTAGGTTTTTTGTTTGTTTTTTTGTTTTTTAGCTTAGTTTTGTTGTTGTTGTTTGTTTTTTAGTTTGTTTTGTTCTGGTACTGGGACATGAACTCAGCCTATGACTGACTACCTAAGCTAAAGTTTTACAACATGTCACATGTAGTGTCTAGCTATTTTTACTCAGTATAATTAACTGTTAGAGCCATTGTGTTCTAGTTATGTCTTTTGATGATGGATGTATTATAATTTGGATAGTCATTTCCCTGTTGATGAACTGATGGGTGATTTCTGGTTCAAGGATTGCCTTGTCCCTTGAAAAATCAACTGGGATGGAGCTAAAGATGTAGGCTAAAGAGTCTAAAGAGACCACTGAAGCAACAAGATCATCAAAGAACATTATCATAAAATAGGCCAAAAAGAAAATAATCATTTTTTAAAATCCGAATGAAGGGGCTGGGAAGGTGGCTCAGTGGTAGAGTGCTTGCCTTGCATGTGTGAGGCCCTGGCTTCCATTCCTCAGCTCCACATAAGCAGAAAAGGCTGGAAGTGCTGTGGGTCAAGTGGTAGAGCGCTATCCTTGAGCTGAAGAGCTGAGGGACAGCGCCCAGACTCAGAGTTGAGGCCCCACAACTGGCAAACAAACAAAACAAAACAAAATCCCGGGGCTGGGAAGGTAGCTCAGCGGTAGAGTGCATGCCTTGCAAGCATGAGGCCCTGGGTTCAATTCATCAACACCACATAAACAGAAAAAGCTGGAAGTGGCGCTGTGGCTCCAGTGGTAGAGCACTAGCCTTGAGCTGAAGAGCTGAGGAACAGCGCCCAGACCCAGAATTCAGGTCCCATGACCGGCAAAAAAAAAAAAAAAAATCCCAATGAAGTTAGAAAGAACAGAGAGGGGGCAGCTGGGGAAAACAAAACTTACCAGAAGTTAGAACTAAGCCTGTGCAGCTTGCTCAGTTAAAATATCATTCCAGATGCCCCCACTATAGGTCAGAAGGGCTGGGATTGCACACAAAAGAGCACTTATTCAGACCTTGGGTTTAGCACCAAAAATATTAAGTAAAAGGCAGAGTTCATCAAACTGATAGCAAACAAGACCTAGTTTCATGTACCTAGAAGAAATATTTAAATGTATGCACAGAAGCAAGGTTCATAGGAAAAAGCTAAGCTAGAAGATGTGTATTATTAATATTGAAGTAGATTGCAAAGAAAAGAGATAAAGTGCCATGGTAATGAAGGATTGATTCAGTTCATTTAGAGAAGGTACCAGTCCTAACCATCTACATACTTGGTGACACAGCTTCAAAATACATGGAATAGGAACAATACAACTACCCTTTGGAGCAGCTTTTCTGCCCCTCACAGTAACTGCTGAAGCAGGCAGAGTTATGAAATCTCTCTGCTCAGTTTAAAAAAAAAAGGACAGCTGGTGTGGTGGCACCTATCTATAATCTCAGCTGCATGAGAAGTGGAGATGGGGAGATGGAAAAACCACCAATCTGTGGCCATCAGCCTGGGTAAAATTAATGTGAGACCCTACCTGAAAAAGCAAAAGGGCTTGCTTGAGTGTTGCAGGATGTTGGCCAAAAAAGTAAAACGCCCTGAACTCAATCCATTGTGTGGATAGTTGTTTGTTTATAGTGTAAGCTGCAAGATGACACATAAGTGTATAAGATGCTCAGTGACCTTGATCATTAGCCAAATGCAAATTTTATGCTGAGACTCACACACTATATTGTGGTCTGTACCTCCGGGCAGAGTCCAGTGGGCAGTGGGGTGGTGCTGGTTTAGCCTGAGCCAAGCAGCACATGCTGAACCATCTTTTCTGCATCTCATCCAGATATGGTAGAGTTGAAGTACAGTGTGGTTTGTGTTGTTGGATGGTCTTTAGCCTTCTGTATGTAGCTGGTGGCTGACGAGCAGCATCTTCTCACAGCTCAGGAAGTACGGACAGTGAAGAAAGCACAGATTCCGAAGAAGAAGATGGAGCAAAACAAGACTTGTTTGAGTCCAGTAGTGCTAATACAGAGGATAAAATGGAGGTGGACCTAAATGAGCGTAAGTTGCCCCATCTGTGAGTACTGGTGTGCTAGCTGGAATTAAAAACAAGCCCGAGAGCAGCAAGTTGTTGTGTAGGCTTTGGAGGGGACAGGGGCGCTGACACACACACACACACACTGGGGCGCTGACACAGACACACACACACACACACACACACACACACACACACACGGCTTTGTGAATTACCCCTGTGTGATCCTTTCCAACACCAGGCCTTACGGAAAGAAGGAGGGGCACAGGGGCAGATGTGGATGTCTGTGAGTCTGGCTAAAAATTCCAGAGGCCAGAGCTCCACCAGAAGGGGAAAAACAGAGATTGGAAACAGAAGCCAGAATGGGCTGGTTTGTGAATGAGCACACCAGAGGAAGCAGCTTAAAGCCTAAGTACATTTAAATGGGTCCTTCATACTTTGCTGATGAATTTAAACCCTAAAACCTATTCAGCTATGGTTTGAGTGTACCTGCTACTTGCTATTCTTCAGTTTTCTAGCCTTTTTTTTTTTTTTTTTGCTGGTCCTAAGGCTTGAAATCAGTCTGGGCACTGTCCCTGAGCTCCTTTGGCTCAAGGCTAGCACTCTACCACTTGAACCACAGCACCACTTCCAGCTTTTTAATTGGAGAGAAGAGTCTCATAAACTTTCCTGCTTGGGCTGGCTTCAAACCATGATCCTCAGATTTTTAGCCTCCTGAGTAGCGAGGATGATAGGTGTGAGTCCCTAGTGCCCAGCTCAGTTTTCTAGCCATTTAAAATTGTTACTAGCTGGATGCTGTGGTTCATACCTGTAATCCCAATTACTAAGAAGGCTGAGAAGATTGTGGTCTGAGCCAACCTAGTACCCTGACTCAATCAATAAAGGCTGGGTATGGTGTGAGCACCTGTCATTCCAGCGAAGTAGGATGTATAAATAGGGGGATCATAGTTCAGGCTGGCCCAGACACAAATGCAAAATCCTATCACCAAAATAATTAAAGCAAAAAAGGCTAGGAGAGAGGGGGGTTAAGTATTAACAGTGCCTATCAAGCACAGGACCCTTGATATCAAATCCCAGTACCACAGCTGCCCCACCCCCCAAAAAAATACTGCTAGCTTGTAAAAGTTCAGGAAAAAAAAGGTCATTTGAAAGAGCCCAATGCATTGATAGGGGACTACTGCCCTGTCTCCAGGAAGGCCTTTATTCCTTTTGTTCTCTGTGGGGCCTCAGCTAGAAAGACCCTCAACAACCATTTGCCACAGCCCCACACAGTACACAAACGCCAGCTGGAGTCAGGGAAGAGAGGAATTGCCTTCTAGCTTGCCTCCTTTCCCAGCTCCCTTCCCTCAGGCAGAAAGGGCTGCCTTGCCAAGCCAGCATTCCTTTATCCAGTTATTCCTGTGTGCCAGGTGCCCAGGCATACAACAGTGTCTGTCTGCAGGCACTCTTGTGAGCCTGCCACAGAAGTGGAGTGGTGGAAGGGGGCATGCAGTTCCACGGCACCCTGCCTAGGGGGAAATGGAAAGCACTTGCTTGGAGGTCCAGAGCTGTTGAATGTGACTCCAGAACAGGATGAGACCAGGTAGGGGACAATAGCTAGAGGCCAGATCTAGACTTATATTTCGAAGATTATAAAGGCCCAAAGGGCCTGACAGACATGGCCACAATGGAAAGTTGGGAAGGAAAGCACATACTGGGGACAGGAAAACTGAAACCCTGTGGACACAGAAGACGGGCCCAGGGAGGAATAATAGGGACAGATGCACCTGACCTTCAGGCTCTGGCATCTGTGGGGTTGTTTTTCCTCTGAAGTACAGGTTAGTGGTCCCATTCATTCATTGGGATTGCAGTGGAATAGACCACTTAGACCTCCCCACTGTCCAGTTCGAGAATCTCTATCCACTGCAAAGCTTGCCTACTGCCTCTGACACTGCTTTGAACTCTGGGCCTCATGCTCACCAACCAGGTTCTCTTACACTCACTAGAGCCACACCTCCAGCCTTTTTTTGTGCATTATTTGAGATGAGGTCTCACATCCTGCCCAGGCAAGTGAGCATGTGCCTAGGCTAAAATCTGCCTATTGAAGGGTTCCTGCCTTATTCAGCACCCTATTGAGAAAGTTCTTGTGAGCTTTTCTGCTTTGGGCTGGCCTTAAACTGCAGTTCTCCCAATTTCAGGATCACAGGTAGGAGCTACCAGCACCCAGTTACTATCCCAATTTCTGATTATATGAATTTGGGTACTTGAGGTATTTCATGGAAGTAGAATCGTTCAGTATTTCTCATTTGTAACTGTCTTCACTCAGCACAGTGTTTTCAAGGTTCATTTATATTGTGTCAGATACAAGGTATTTCACACGAGTGCACTATAAAGGGACTGGGTGTGTATTACGTAACTGGAGGAAAACCTCATCTCAGCTTCCTACATGCCACTGCCACTAGAAGTGGGCAGTGGGGATGGAGAGAGAAGGAAAATCCTGTGTGACAGTCAGCATTTATGGACTCCAGGGTCAGATCCTAGGCACGGGGGCAGGGGGGAGCCCCTACTTGCCTCCCAGGTATTGATGTCTGGGGAGTAGGAATGTCGAAAGCACTTCTTGTTTCACTCACTCTGGGGAGTGTATTTGGAAAAGGCTATCCAATTGTCATCACAGAGGAGAGGAGTCCCTTTTTGTAACTTGGTCCAGCTATAAAGTGAAGGTCAGTCCAGTAGAATGGTTCCAAAACTCTGCTTATAATATATGTAAATTTGTACCCTGGTGTAGTTTCTGTGGAAAAAAAGAATTCTTAGAGCTGGGCACAGTGGCTTATACCTATAATCCTAGCTCCTGAGGAGGCGGCAATCTTGGAGGGTCATTTCTAGCCAAAACAAAACAAAAGATTTTTAAAAATTTGCAAGATTCCCCCCCCCCCCCATCTCAACTAATAAAACTCTGAGCACCTGTCCTCACAGCTAGGTGAGAAGCATAAACAGGATCTCATGGCACATGCTGACTGGCAGAAATGGAGACTGTTCAAAAAATAGCAATACCAAAAGTGTAGAATTGTGGCTCAAGTATTAGAGCACCTTCCTGGCAAGCACAAGGCCCTGAGTTCAAACTATAGTACCACACACACTTAGAAGTCATTTTACAATATATGGATGTTGTCACCTGGCCCTTCAAGTGACTTTCCCCCTTCCTTCCCTGGGCAGTATACAGTACTGATTGACTGGTTTGTCTGTTTTTATCATTGCTGGTATGTTCCTGAAAAGTTCCTCCCTCCCTGACTTTCTATTGTTCTTGGGGTCTTGTTGTCTTGCCCAGTCTGACCCTGAACTTACGGACTCACTCAGGTGATCCTCCTGCCTGCCTTAGCTTCCCAAGTAGCTATGACTATAGGGAGGGAGAAATCTTGTATCACGATCAACTTCTGGAATATCTCCAAGTGAAATTCTTCCCTCACTCTAGCACCCACCTGGTCAGCCAACTTTGACGTCCCAATGGAGACCACCCATGGCGCTCCATTAGACTCTGTAGGGTCTGACGTCTGGAGCACGGAGGAGCCAGTGCCAACCAAAGAGACAGGCTGGGCTTCTTTTACGGAGTTCACATCCTCCCTGAGGTAAGTGAATGTGTGCAGTCCCTAAACTTCCCGTGGGAAAGCTGACTGGTGGGTGTGGCTGTAGGCCTGTCCTTCACCTTCATTGACCTCTAGTTCACTGTTGTGCCTTAGCATAAACATCAACTTCAACCTGGGGCAGTACCTACACAGCTATGCGGCACAGACACAGCTCCGCATCAAGAGCAGAGCCATCTCCAGCTTCCTGAGCTCTACAGTCAAACTGGGATGGGGAAGATTTCCTTTTCTGTTCCCATCCTGGTCCCAGAGCATTTACCAGAAAGAAATAGAGATGCTTCCCCGCTCCCTGGTTCTAGTCTGCTATGGTGGGTTTGAGAACTCCTGGTGAACAGGTCCTGATCCCTAGGTGATAGGAACTTGCAAGTAGACTGAGAGATCCAGTGCTCTGAACTAAGAGTGTGACAGCATTGCTGCTGGTCTTGAGCCTATATGGCTCTTGATGATAGAGCCCTGCTGTTGCATAACTGTCCTGTGTAAGACTGTCAGGATCTCCTGTTTGATCCATCTACCACCTGCGTGCAAAGTCACTCTCAGGCAGAAGACATGCCTGTAATCCTAGCTATTTGGAAGGCTGAGAATCAAGAGAATCGCAGTTCAAGGCCAACCTGGGCAGAAAAATGAGCCCCTCCCCCCATCTCGACAGTAGCTGAGCCCAGTGGTACAAGCCACAAAAGAGGCTAAAATCAGGAGAATCACAGTTTCAGACTATCTTGGGCAAAAAGTTCATAAGAACCTCCCCCCCCCAACCCCCACCATTTCAATAGAGAGAATTGGGTGTGGTGGTGTAGGCACATCATACCAGCTATGGTGGTAAGCTTAAGTGGAAGCATTGCTACCAGCTCAACCCAGGCAAAAAGGGAGACCCTACTTCAAAAGTAGCCAGAGTAAAAAGGATTAGAGGCCAGGCTCAAGCAGTAGAATGCCTGTATAGCAAGCACCAAGCCCTGAGTTCAAACCCTAGTACTACCAAATAAAGCCTGAAAAAAATGTCGAAGAAGCTTTCTTCTTGAGTCCATGGCACAGGTCTCTGGGTTTATTGGGGGAGGGATTGTTAAAGAGAAAGTGCTTACCTTCAGTCAGTTGGTGTTTCTTACTATGTTTTCACAGTACCAGTAATGACTGTCATTTAGAGGAACAGTGCCTCCAAGCAGTTTGGCTCAGAGTATAGTGTTTTGTGGCTGAGTCCAACTGGATGCTGTGCCTGCCATGTAGGGCCTGGGGCCAAGTGATAACAAGGTGCCTGGGAGTTGCAAGCCTGATATCTTGAAGCTTCCTAGACTCAGTCTCTGTCCTTACCCACTCAACAGAGCTGCTCACATTTGGATCCCTATGTCTCTCCCACACTTGGACTCCTCTGTCCCACACATACATGGATTCCAATATTAACATCAGGATGTTTTCTTTTCTGAAGCGCAAAAGATTCCTTAAGGAGTAGCTCTCCAGTGGAGATGGAGACCAGCACGGAGCCTGTGGACCCTCTGACTCCTGGGGCAGCTGCACAGCCAGAAGGTGAGTGCTGAGTGGGCTGGTATGCCCTCAGGAGCCGGAGGAGCCAAGAACACAAGACTGTGACTTGCTCTGGTGTCCACAGCACACCTGAGAGCCATAGTGATTGGCAAAGAGGCCCACCACTGTAGGAAAGGAGCCTGAGGCCCTGGAAGGAAGAAGAACTTAGCCTGCAGAGCTCAGGTGGATAGAACCAGGGCCAGATGCTGGGCCAGGGCTGCTTGTGTTTTCCTCACCTTTACGAACAGACGAAGTGTTCTGGGTGTCTTGAATTCCCAGATCGGTCTTCCTGGAATGTTCACAGGTCCCTGATGAGAGGTGCTTTTGGAGATAAGGGTGTGAGCAAAGGGGATGCCATGTAACTTGACCTGTGTGAGGCTCAGGGCATCAGGAGGAAGGCACAGCCCCAAGTCCTTCACACACACACACACACACACACAAAAAGTGCCACAAACAAGCTAAGAAAGGAATAAGGCCTGTAGTGTGGTCAGGGTTAGTTACTCTCAAATAGGCAACCTCAATTGGGCCCAGAGCAGTTCTGGCAGGGCCTCATGGGCCTGTTTGAATGGTGAAGGGATTAGCGTGCACAAAAAAGAATAATAAAAAAGACTTGGACCCATGTGGATGGGGGGTGGGCTAGAGCTGTGGAATAGGACGAAGCTGAAGGTGAGGGGGGACACCTGGAAAGGTTAAGAAAGCCTGAGACACTTGGTCTCAAATGCACCTTAGTGGCATTTATAAGAAACCAGTGCCCCTTAATAAAGAATGTAGCCAGGCAGCAGTAGGCAAACTCTCTCTCTCTCTGGTCATTGTCCTCGAGCAGAGCGTGTCTGTAAAGGGAGTGGTAGTTGGTCAGGTGTCAGCTGATGTGTTCTTTTCAGCATCGGGGAGCATGGCCATGGAAGCTGGCTCAGACGGGGAGGAGGATGCAGAAAGTACAGACAAGGTAACTGAGACCGTGATGAATGGCGGCATGAAGGAAACGCTCAGCCTCACTGTAGATGCCAAGACAGAGACTGCCGTCTTCAAAAGGTAACCAGGGCCACGGCCTCCTGCGGCTTCAGGTGAATGGGTGCAGCGTGACTCAAAAGGGCCAGTCAGACTGCTTCACGAAGCACAGTCACCTGCACCAGGAGAGGGAGAACGTAGGCCCCTCATCCTGGCACACATGTGCCAGAGTGAGATTGCACTCTGAATGTAGCAGATTGACAGAATTATGAGAATGGACATCTTCTCTCATGGTAGACTTGTGTCACACTGTAGACCACTGTCTTCAGACATCCCTCAGTCAGTTTTAACTCACCAGCAGCATGACAGTTAAAAACACCAAACTTAGGAAATGAGCAACCTTACTTCTAAACTCCGGGGCCACGAAAGGTATCATAACAGAAATTTGCTCTGTCCTGTAATTCATGAAAGGCCTGCTCAGAGCCCCATCCACCCGATGTCAGGATCCATAGGAGAACTCTCCCCCCCACAAGGAGGCTATCTCAAAACAAAATCATACAAGGATGACAGTGATTGAGGGCTAATATCTGTGGGGTTTGGGAAAGGTTATTGAAGTTTGACCTCAGAGGCTTGTACATAGGCACTCTTCCATTTAAGCCATGTCCAGCCCTTTTGCTTTAGTTATTTTTCTGATAAAGTCTGTTTTTGCCTGGGCTAGCCTAGACTGCCATCCCCTTATTTACGTAGCTGGAGTGGCAGGTATGTGCTTCAATGCTCAGCTTATTGGTGGAAATGGAGGGTTCATTAACTTGTCCAGGCTAGCCTTGAACTGCTATCCTTCTGATCTCTACCTACTGAGGAACTGGAATTACAGGTATGAGTCACTATACTAGGGTGCTACACTTGGTAAGAGCTAGCACACCAAATCCAGCGATTTATTTTGTCAGGATGTCAGTGTGAGGATTGATTTGACCTGTGGTAATTCTTAACAGTGGGCCATTAGAAGTATTCCCTTTCAGATAAGAACCAGGCAGGGGGACATACAATTACAACTTCAGCACTGTGCTTAGCAGCTGCAGCATTAAAAATACAAAAGAGGGCTGGGAATGTGGCTTAGTGGTAGAGTGCTTCCCTAGCATGCATGAAGCCCAGGGTTCCATTCCTCAGAAAACACCAGAAGTGGCGCTGTGGCTCAAGTGGTAGAGCACTAGCCTTGAGCAAAAGAAGCTCAGGGGCAGTGCCCAGGCCGATTTCAAGCCCCAAGACTGGCTAAAAAAATAAAATATAGGGGTTGGGAAGTTAGCTTAGTGGAAGAGCCCTTGCCTGCAAGTACAAGGCTCTGAGTTCTGTCCTCAGCTTGGGGGGTCGGGTTAATAAATATTTGAAATAAATAAAATGGTCATTTCTGAATAGGTAAGTTTAGACAGTTTGCTGGATTCATAGAAAGAAATCACTTTTCCTTATAAATCAACAAAGGTATCCCAGAAGTATGCCTCTTTAACAAAAGTACAAAAGCTTTTCTGTGGGAAAGAATGCATGCTGATTTTATTCATGGAAAGATAGCCTTGGCATTTCTCAGCAAATCAGCCTAAGAATTAATGAAATTCTCATCAAAGTAATCCCAGTAGTAAACTTCATGGAAGTTAATGGAGATGATGGCATACCTTTGTAAAGAAGAGTCAAGATGATTTTGAAGAGACAAGGCGAGGGTGTCCCCCATCCCATGTTAGATCTCAAGGCTTGTAAGTAAAGCTTTATTACCACAGACTTGATGGGGCATGGAGCTCTCACTAACTCGCCCAGGCTGGCCTCACACTGCAATCTGATTTCTACCTGGCAAAAGTCCACAGAGACTGCTCCACTCCCTGAACTTGGCACCGGGTCTGTGAGGAAGAGTGGGCTAGTGCATATTGATTCCCACTTGGGCGAAGACTGAAACTGGATCTCTTAGAGCAGTGAAGTATAAAAGGAATAGCCATGTCAGGCTGAGAAGTCATAAGAGAACATTGTGACATTGTGAGGGGAACATAGTTTTAACCATAGAAATCAAAAGCCGTAGCAAGCACCAGTGGTTCACACCTGTAATCCTAGCTGCTCAGAAGCCTGAGAGCTGAGGATTGTGGTTCAAAGCCAATCTGGGCAGGAAAGTCCTTGAGACTCTTACTTCCTTCCAGTTAACCACCAAAAAGCCCGAAGTGGAGCTGTGGCTCAAGTGGTATTGTGCTTTGAGCACAAAAACTCAGGGTGAATACGCAGGCCTGTGTGTTCAAACCCCAGCACTGGCATACACATATGCAAAGAGCCATAAAGGAAAATATTAGTAAGCTTGTTTAATTTCTAGTATCAGAGATGACTCACTAAAACAAGCCACAACCACCAAAGATCAATAAGATGGCCTGCCTTATAAAGATGAACGAAAGAGGCCGGGCGCTGGTGGCTCACGCCTGTAATCCTAGCTACTCAGGAGGCTGAGATCTGAGGGTCGCCGTTCAAAGCCAGCCCGGGCAGGAGAGACTGTGAGACTCCTATCTCCAATAAACCACCAGAAAACCGGAAGTGGCACTGTAGCTCAAGTGGTAGAGCGCTCGCCTTGAGCTGAAGAGCTGAGGGACAGCGCCCAGGCCCAGAGTTCAAGCCCCACGACCGACCAAAAAAAAAAGTTGAACGAAAGATGCAAGCAAGCACATTTCAGTGAAGAGCAAGAAGTGAACGAGTCCCAGGCACTGACGGTGGGAGTGGCTGCCACACTACTGGTCAGTGTGCACTCTCACGCATAGGAGTCTATTGGTGGCAGTCTCGAGGGTTAGCACAGAATAATAGAATCCTCATTCCAAAGCCAGACAAAAGGGTAACTCCAACAATTAGCCTACAAACAGAAGTCCATATGGTGTTTGCTAACTAGATTAAACTGCTTGTCAGTCAACTGGCATTTGTCCTGAAATGCAGTGCCCGCTGGCTCAGTCAGAAAACTAGACTGAAAGAAAGTCACTTTTCAGTAAGATTTCCTACTTGTACACAGTTAAAACTTGAAGCAAAAAAAGTACCAGTAATGACTTAGTAAAAAGTAAATACCCAAATATCACAGCAGAACTTGAGTAAGGAGGAAGTGTTAGATGACCCTTTGAGATGAGGTTGGGGCAAGGCTGCCTGCCATCACTGCTGGAGGGAGCAGAGGCCAAGGCCGGGGAGGGTAGTGAACTGGTGGCCGGTACATCGGCCGCCACTCTGCAGCTGCAAATGCTGTGATCACTTAAGGTTCCACAGATAATCTGAAGATGGAGGCTAGCTTTCCTGCGTCACTACTGACAAGTAGATGGTATAGAAGCAGGTCTGTAGAGAAGGCCCCAGGACGACCTGGTGGAGAGCACAGGGAGCTGTGCAGCTGCTGTGAGACAGCATAGTGCCCACACAGGCCCTGCGGTTCAGTTCAGCCCCAATGAAAATGTGGTGGGGGGGTCTTAGAAGGAATTCGATAGCCTAGTTCAAAACTGGCAGAGAAATAAGACTTCCCACATTGCTAGACGTGCAGTCATGCTGCAGCAGTGCTGCTGTACAGTGGTGCTGGCGTGCACAGGGCAGTGGTCTGAGTGGGAGAACAGCAGGAGGAGGCTTGGTGCTGGGCCACGGGCCTGGCTGGGCGCTGTCCCTCAGCTCTTCAGCTCAAGGCGAGCGCTCTACCACTTGAGCTACAGTGCCACTTCCGGTTTTCTGGTGGTTTATTGGAGATAGGAGTCTCATAGTCTCTCCTGCCCGGGCTGGCTTTGAACCAAGATCCTCAGATCTCAGGCTCCTGAGTAGGTAGAGTTACAGGCATGAGCCACTGGCGCCCGGCTAACAGCACCATTTTTTAAAAGGGATGTGCTAGCTCACATGAGAAGTCAACCCAAATCCTCCCCTAGAGAGTACCCTAAGAAGAACCTGTAAGAACGAACGGGTGCAGCACCTCTGTGTGCCCTATCCACACGCATTTACCCATGGGGAACCTTTCCAGATGCAGAAACTGAGGCACTAATGTTAAGTGACATAGAATGTATTTCTAGCCTGTGGGAAGAAAAAGCCTTCTTTTTTGGGGGGGGGGCGGTCCGGTCGTGGGGCCTGAACTCTGGGCCTGGGCGCTGTCCCTCAGCTCTTCAGCTGAAGGCTAGCACTCTACCACTTGAACCACAGCACCACTTCTGGCTTATGTGGTACTGAGGTATTGAACCCAGGGCCTCATGCATGCAAGGGAAGCACTCTACCACTGAGCCACCTTCCCAGCCAAAAAAGCCTTCATTTAAAAAAACAAAAAACACTACCCTGCCCTGGTGCTGTTGGCTCACTCCTATAATCCTTATCTCCAATTAACCACCCAAAATGCAGGAAGTAGAGCTGTGGCTAAAGTGATAGAGTGCTAGCCTTGAGCAACAATGCTCAAGGACAGCACCTAGGCCCTGAGTTGAATCCCCAGGCCCAGCACCAAAAAGAAACAGATTGAAAAATCAGGGTTCAGTGCCACCCCAGGCAAACAGTTGCAAGACTTATCTAGAAGAAAGAAAGGAAGGAAGACAGAAGACAGGCATAGTGGTACATGTCTTAATCCTGAGTACTGGGGAGACAGAGGTGGGAGGCCCATAGTCCAACGCCTAAAAGTTAAAGACCTTCCTTAGAGCTAAATCAGAAATGTGTGGGTGTGGCTGAGTGGTATAGAGCTTGTATAGTAAGTGCAAGACCTTGAGTTATAGGTGAAATTTTCTGTTGGATGAAATACCAGACAAAATTAGGAAGGTAGTAGCCAATCAACATAAACATTTCATATTCAGCAATGCCTAGAAGCCAATAAGACCAAAAAAAGCCTAAATCAGAAAATGGGTAGAAGATGGCAGTTCTCAGACAAGAAACCAAAAGCAGTGTTCCATCTCTAATTATCAGACAAGCATGAAGCATTCCTTGTTATTAGACTTACAGAAATTTGAAGAGGGCTTGTGTGCCACAGGGTTTCCAGAGCTCCCTTGGCCTATGAGTGGGAAAGCATAGTGGGTACTCATAGTAGGAAAGAGGGTAGATAAAAATATGGCCCAGAATAGTCCTCTTCTGGGGGTGCAGCCGTGCTAGATGCCCAAACAGACCCTGCCAGTCAGGGGCATTTCAGACCGAGCTGGTGGCTCTTCAGCTATGCTGAATGAAGAAAACATCAGTACAGAAGGGCCTAAGTCAGAACGCACATCTGAGCAGTTGCTTTGGAGTATAGAATGCAGAGGAGTGACAGAGTACAAGGACTGAAGTGCATCTCAGCACCGCAGGGAGAGGAGGAGGGAGGGATGTACTGGCTAACTGGGATTGCCCCCAAGTGGTTACGTTTTATTGTTTTTCTACTTCAGTTGCCTGGGACCATTTGGAAGTCCTGAAACTAGGAACTTAGCAGATCCAAGCCAGACTTGCCCATAAGAATGATGGCCTTCCCTAAAGCATGCCAGCGGGGCTGGTTCTGCTGGGTGTGTGCAGGAACCCGCAGAGGAAGGAAGTGTCTATGGGGAAACTGTTCCCCTGCTCTATTCCCCAGAGGCCCCAGTACCCAGGGGCTCAGCTCCCCCTGCGCTGTCCCCTGCCCTGGGGCTCAGCCCCGCCTGTGCTGTCCCCTGCCCTGGGGCTCAGCCCCCCCTGTGCTGTCTCCTGCCCTGGGGCTCAGCCCCCCCTGCGCTGTCCCCTGCCCTGGGGCTCAGCTCCCCTGTGCTGTGCTCCTCCCCACCCCTTTTGCCTTCCTGGTGCGTGCACTGGGCACGGGTTGCTGAGGCCAGCTCAAGAAGCCCTCTGTTTGCACAGTGGCACGCCCTGGCCCCGGCAGGCATCAACTAAAGCCTCGTTCCTTCAAACAGGTTCACTTGACACCTCCACCGACTCTGCGGTTTTGCTTAAGTGCAGTCGTGGACATGTTTTCCCCATCCCTCATTTCTAGGAGAATTCTGAAACTCTTGTACATTTCTTTTTCTGTTTTGCACACTTGGCCTCAGAGTGTTGAAATCCTACCGGTATGTACAGTGACGCGGACCATTCCTTCTCAGACCCCAGCCGCATCACATTGTCCCTCGGTTCCCACCTGCTGTGGCCCTTTCCTTCCATGGTCCCTGTGCTGTCCGTGTCCCTGTGGTCCTCCACCCTGAGCATGCTCAGCCCCAGGGCGTCCCGCGGCATCTCGACTCCAGAGCCATTTGCATGTGACCTCATTCCCCTGGCCGGGTCCTGTGCTGCTGGTGACGCCCTCTCCCCTCTCTCTCAGTGAGGAAGGAAGACTGTCTACCTCTCAAGATGCTGCTTGTAAAGACACGGAGAGCCCCGAGCCAGCAGAGGCGAAGTGTGCAGTCCCCCGGCCTCCCAGCAGCAGTCCCGAGCAGAGGTAACCACCCGGCGGCCTGCGCCCTCCCAGGCCTGCCTGGCCTTTTCCGGGGGGAGGGGCAGGGGGTGTGAGGATTATCAGCTCTTCAGCAGTGGCCTCTGCCTGTCCTGCTGGCAGAGGGAGCTGAGAGCTAGTATTCTGTCTCCATATCCAGAAGCAGAGCCTTGCCCAAAGGTTCCTGGCAGCACTGGCTCTTTGAGAAGTTTCCAGAAAAGGGAGCCTTGCTCTGAACCTTTGGGTCTTTTTCTGAGGCTGGGTTGGGAATGGTGGTTTGAGGTCCTCAGCCCCACCCTAGGGTACCAGGGCACTTCCTTCCCCAAGGCCTTTCACAGGGTGAAATACTCAGCCCAGAAAGCACCCCCAGGGGCTGAACCTGTCCTGTGGCGCCCACTGCCAGGGCTGGTGACTTGCTATGTGGTGTTTTCTTTCTAGTCACCTTTTGCTCAGACTGAGCCAGTGGTCTGAAGGGATAGGCCAAGCCAAAGCCTCAGCCGAGGGCCGGCGCCCAGGCCCGTACACGCGGCCTCGCAGGTAGAGCCGGTGGCCTGGGAGCACCGGAGCCCACGCCCACGGATGAGTGAGGAGGCGCCTCCCAACACGGGACTGTGCTCAGCACCCCTCAGTTATCTGACGCTGTATATTCCTCCTCAAAGGAATAAAATGACCTTTAAAGCCGTTTCAGAGGCGTTGTATTTTCCCCCGGCCCCCGTGTGGGTGTCCTACAGCGCAGGACCAACAGGGGCCTGCCTGTCCTCCTCACGCCTGGGGCCCAAAGAGACGGCAGGCTAGCACGAGAAGTGTTGAGCATCTAGACTCGGAGGTGTTGGGAGCAGAAGGCAGGTGTCCATCTGCTCCGCTGGGCTTAGAGAGCGCCCTCACTTTCACTTGCCTTGGATTCTGGGTGTCTGCCTCAGCCAGTCGCACGGAGGTGGCCAGGGAGGCCTCCTGTTGGGAGCCGTTGGTCCCAGTGCATCTTGGCCTGTCTTCTCTGACATGATCATGAGAAGAACTCTGGGAGCACCTCCTCTGCAGTGCAGAATTGTTTGCCACCGGAGACCCACTTGCCCTGGCTAGAAATAGCCAGCATGAAGAGCCCTGCCCGCTCACCTGCAGAGCAAGTGGCCGGCAGAAAGGCTGGGGTGAGCGAGAAGAAAAGGGGTCCCAGTCATGCCCCACATGTGCGTGGCAAATGGACAGAGGCACAGGGGCCACACCTAGAGCAGCATTTGGGGGCTTTGGACAGGCGGCAGGAGCCTCGGTGTTTGGGGAGCCATCCACGGCAGGGTGGAGAGCGAAGACCCCCTTGGTCCCCTGCTCCTGTGAGTGCCACAGCCTCTCGTTCCACTGCCACTCAGCCAGTTGGTCTGCACTGACCAAAGGACTGGTGCTTCTCACACAGTATACGTTTGCAAAGTCCCAGGGGTGAGGGTAAAATGGAGCTAAGAGGAGTTAAAGACCTTGCTTAAGAATGCTAGCCATCACTACAGAGGCAGAGATCTGGAAGATTGTGGTTCCAGGCGAGTCCAGACACAAAAAGTTTGTAAGACCCCGTCTCAACCAACCAGAAGCTGCATGTGGTGGCTAACACCTGTCACCCCAGCATAAATAGAGGAGATCACAGTCTTAAAAAAAAAAAAAAAAACTGGAGGCCGGGCGCTGGTGGCTCACACCTGTAATCGCAGTTCAAAGCCAGCCCAGGCAGGAAAGTCCGTAAAACTCTTAACCTCCAATAAACCACCAGAAAACTGGAAGTGGCATGTGGCCCAAGTGGTAGAGCACTAGCCTTGAGCTGAAGAGCTGAGGGACAGCGCTCAGGCCCAGAGTTCAAGCCCCATGACCGACCAAAAAACGAACTGGGTGTGGTGGCTCACACCCATCCCAGCTGTTCAGGAGGCTGATACCTGAGGATCATGCATGATTTTTTTTTTGGGGGGGGGGTCCAGTCGTGGGGCCTGAACTCTGGGCCTGGGCGCTGTCCCTCAGCTCTTCAGCTCAAGGCTAGCACTCTACCACTTGAGCCACAGCGCCACTTCCGGCTTTTTTTTTCTTTTTGCTTATGTGGTGCTGAGGAATCGAACCCAGGGCCTCAGGCATGTAAGGCAAGCACTCTACCACTGAGCCACCTTCCCAGCCTCTCATGATTTGAAGCCAGCTGGGTCAGGAAAGTCTCTGAGACTCTATCTCTGGTTAACCAGTGAAAATGCCAGAAGGGGAGCCATGGCTCCACTGGTAGAGCAACTAGCCTTGAGCACAAAAGCTAAGGACAGATCCAAGACCTGAGTTCAAGCCCAGTGCCATCACATAAAAGGTAAAGGATAGACTGGCCCAAGTGGTAGAACACCTGGTTAACAGGTCCTAGCTGGGCGCTGGTGGCTCATGTCTGTCATCCTAGCTTCTCAGGAGGCTGGGCAGGAAGTCCATGAGATTCTTATCTCCAAAAAAACACCAGAAAACCAGAAGTGGCACTGTAGCTCAAGTGGTAAAGCGCTAGCCTTGAGCTGAAGAGCTGAGGGACAGCGCCCAGGCCCGCAACTGACAAAAAAAAAAAAAAACAAGCAGAGGTCCTGGGTTCAAGCCCCAGGCCTGTTGGAGAGGTAGAGGGAAGCTTGCAGCTGATGAGTGGAGAGGGCCAAGTGCACACCCGGTTTTCTCTGACATGCACTGGGACGCGCACATGTGAGGGGGAGGGTGTGTGGGACCACTAGGCCTTCCATGTCAGGAACAGGGTAAGAGCAGCCTTAGCTGCCACCCAAGACGACAAGAACGTCTCAGCCAGCGCCAGTGGCTCACACCTGTCACCCTAGCTACCCAGGAGGCTGAGACCTGAGCATTGTGGTTCAAAGCCATGAAAGTTTGTCAGATTCTTCTTTTTTTTTCCTGTTAATGGGGCTTAAACTCAGGACCTAGGTGCTGTCCCTGAGCAATTCTTGCTCAAGGCTAGTGCTCTACCACTTGAGCCACAGTGCCACTTCCAGAAATAGGAGTCTCATGGACTTTGTTCCTAAGGCTGGCTTTAAACCTAAATCCTCAAATCTGTTTTCTGAGTAGCTAGGGTTACAGTCATGAGCCACCAGCGCCCAGAAGTTTATCAGATTCTTGCCTCCAATTAATCGGCAAAAGGCAAGAAGTGGAGCTGTGGCTCAGGTGGTGGAGTGCCAGCTCAGGGACAGCCCTGAGTTCAAGCTCCAGGACTGGCACAAGACAAAAAAAAGCGACTTGCTCAGGTTATAGTTTTGACAGGAAGTCACCCCATCTTCCATTCCAATTTCAAGTCTGACATTGGCTGTTAGGAACACAGAAGTTTTGTTTGGTTGGTTTGCTTTGCTTTGCTTTCTGAGTGATAAACCCTTGCTTGCTTTTCAAGTGAATTATGTGGCTCTCTGTGGGACAGATAAAAGTGCTCTCAAGAAGGGAGAACATAATGCTCTTGCAGGCTCTGGGACACATATTTCAAAGCCGTAAGAGACCTGGGTAGCTGGTAGCGCATTCATATAATCCTAGCTATTCAGACTGAGATCTGAGAATCATGGTTCAAAGCCAGCCCTGGCAGAAAAGTCCCTATGAGTCTCTTATCTCCAGTTAACCACCCAAGAAAGCCAGAAGTGGAGCTGTGTCTCAAATGGTAGTGCACTAGCCTTGAGCAAAGAAGCTCAGGGACAGTGCCTAGCCCCTGAGCTCAAGTTCCAGGACCGGCACACACACACCAGCTAGACACTAGTGGCTCATCCTATAATTCTAGCTACTCAGGAGGCTGAGATCTGAGAATCACAGTTCAAAGCCAACCCAGGAAGAAAAGTCCTTGAGACTTTTTTTTTTTTTCCAATTAACGACTCAGAAACCAAAGTGGCGCTGTGGTGCAAGTGGTGGGGTGCTAGTCTTGAGCACAGGAGCTCAGGGCCAGCGCTGAACTCAGGCCGAGTTCAAGCCCTGTTAACACAGCAGCAGCAACAACGAGAGAAGTTGTGCCCACAGACAGGCAGTACTGAGAAGCTAGAGGGCCCGGCTGCTCTGCTCTCTACTTCAGGTGTCTGTCTCCTCCCTAGGACGGAGCAGCCAAGTGGGCCAGGAGACGCAGCAGTCAATGGCCCTGTATGATGAGCGATGGAGCTGCTGCCGGCTGAGGACTGCGGACCACCGCCCCGGCTCCGGAGGAACTTGCGCCTCCGCGTCGCCACAGCTGCTCTCACTGTGCGAGGGATCAGGACCAGCACCCTTTCTGTTCTAGATTCTAAGACACTGTACAGAAAAATCCAGACGTGTACAAATACTGCACATTGACAAATACCAAGAATTTTTGCGTATGTTTATATTGTATTGTTCTAAATAACGGGTGGCCTGTGAGCACACGCCTGCCACCGCGTGACGATAGTGTGATGCTGTAGTTAACATGCTCGTAAGAATAGTTTTATAAAGTGAACACAGATCTATTGTATTTGACCTTTATTAGTGCGACCAAAGTATTAGGCAAGTTTCCTACATTTTTCACCTTGTACAAAGTTCTGAATTCGTCTCTCTTCCAGGCTGGCAGCGCGCAGCCCTCAGTGCCCTCCACTGCTATTTTGGTTGTTCCAACTTACAACAGTGATTTTGAATAAGAAATATTGGGTGTTCTTTTTATAACCAGTTTTTGATTGGTAATTGTTTTCTGTATTGTTTAAAATGGATCAAAAATGTAAGTCTATTGGTAGAGATTAAGTATTTATTGCTGCAGCTTAGTTGATAAATGGGTGTTCCTGTAAGCCATACGTTCTGTTACGGTCTGTGTGCTTGAACCGTGCTTCGGTGAGGCACTGGAGGGTTGGAGTGTCATGGCTAGGGTTTGGGTTTGGGGGTGGTTCTGTTCCTGTTTTTGTTGTTGTTTGTTTCATTTGGGTAGTTCCTTTGCCTTCTTACCCCATTCTCCCAAACCAGCCTGTCCTTGACCACGTGTCAGCCGTGCCCACAGGAGGCCCCTGTGTCACGCGCGGCAGGTCAGCTGCAGTTGGATGCCTACGCCGAGGACGGGGGTGGGGCATGCGCATTTCACAGGCCGGGGTCTGCGGAGCGGAGAGCACGCTCCGGCACGGAACGAAGCATGTTACCTGTTTCACTGTACCTTGTGAGCTTTCCCTCGTCAACTCTAAACCAGTGCGTTTTTTAGAGCTGGTTTGTATATATATAGTGATTATGGATACTAATTCAATGTAATTTATAATTTTCTATGTCAATATCAAATCCATCACCGCCTTCTCCACCAGCTGAAGCAATATATTGTACATTGTATATTGCCACGCCGTCTGGTGAGTGGGCTAGCACTTCACCTCTTGCACTTTTAGATGCAAATCAGTTTTTCATTTCTGTAATAGAAAATTATTCACGTATTTTTACATCGTTTGTTTTTTCCTGATCAGTATTTAAAACCAAAAGGATATTCTGAGAAAAAAAATGGCCAACAAATTTTTTAGAGACAGCATCCCAAGCAGCGTGCCTAAACAATACATTGCATATAGAAATAAAGAATCAAACGTCTACGCCTTACTCCTTCTTTACTCCACTCCAGGGAGCGCAGCCTGCGAGGCTTCCACAAAATGGCCTGCCACTCCAGGGGGTGGCGGGGAGCCCAGGGCCTAGTGGCAGGCCAAGGGTCCGCTTGGCCTGTCCGTGCCCGCCTGGCGCCGTCTGCCCAGTGCTCCTCCACTGAGTGGCCTCGGGAGAGACCCTGCGTTCTCCCCGGGGTCCTGGGCCACCAGCACGGGCTCCTTCCTCTTTGTCTCAGGGATCCTGACCTGTGTGGCCGCGACCTCAGACTGACGGGTGCTCTGCTTCTCTCCCCAGGCAAGGAGCCTGCCGGCCACAGTCAAGCCTTGGCCCCATGGTGGCACACGCTGCCACCGTCCAAGGAGATAGATAACTGTCGGGGAAATTGGTGTGTGGGGGCTACCTTTTGGGCAGGGTTCTAGTTTGCTCATCTTAGATGGCAGAGAAAGAAAGGATAGAATGGGAGGGGAGGGGTCAGCCTGCCAGGTCAAAGGGTGCAGGCCCAAGGATGGCAGCGAATTCACACGTTCTATTTTAGTTGCTGCGTATTGGCAATATGGATTGCAAGACTAACCTGTCTACAAGTACCTGTATTTAAAATAAAAATAAAGCCTGATTCTTTCTTTCTAGAGCTCTCTTGTACCTTTCATGGGCTTTAACAACCAGACCTGACGCCGGCCATCACCAGTGAACTGCTGTCATTGTAAGGGCTGAGCCGTGTCCGCAGTCCTGTACTCTGCTGCCAGCCACACCTCCAGCCTAGCCTTCGTGGGGCCTGAACTCGGCCTGGGTGCTGTCCCTGAGCTCTTCAGCTCAAGGCTAGTGCTCTACCACTTGAGCCACAGCGCCACTTCTGGCTTTTTCTGCTTATGTGGTGCTGAGGAATGGAACCCAGGACCTCATGCATGCAAGGCAAGCACTCTACCACTGAGCCACCTTCCCAGCCCCTTGTTAATTGTTTTGCAGATGGAGTCTTGGGGACTTTGCTGTGCAGCCTGTGCTGTGGTTCCAACATCTGTGCATCTGGGCAGGTTTCAAGCTAGCCTCAGCTTTGTAGCACTCAAAAAAAACAGGGCCAATAAATTTTTTAGAGCCACCATGTTGGTAATCCTAGCTACTGAAGAAGCTGAGCTCTAAGGATCACAGTTCAGAGACAGCCCAGGCAGGCCAGGCTGTAAGGCTCTTGTTGCAAATAAACAACTGGGAGCTGGAAGTGGTGCTATGGTTCAAGTGGTAGAGTACTAGCCTTGAACAAGAGCTCAGGGACAGAGCCAGGCCAAAGTTCAAGCCTCAGGACTAGCAAAATAAATAAGTGACATTCAAACTCATTTCTGAACCTCCCTCCTGGTAGCTTTTGCCCCTTCCTGTATCTTCCTGGGTACAGGCTCAGAATCAGACCTTCTGTCTCCACTCCAGCGGGAATGAAGTGTGGGCCGGGTGAGTTAACTTGGTAGTGGCAGATTGGTGACAGAAAACATGCAATATTAGCAGTGAACTCCACTCACTGTGTCTTCCCCTACCGGCTTTGCGGAATACATGCTTAACTGTCATTTAAAACCTTTACATCAGACAGCCCAGGTCGCCCTTGGCACACTCATTGTCCTGCTTCAAGGCCAGCTGCATCCCAAGGGTCAAATCTGGTCCACAGCCTGGATTTACAAATAAAACCAGTTTGGGGGGGGGGGGACTGTAAGTTATTAAAAAAAAAAAGCCAAAGTGGATCACAGCTCTAAGACCTCACAAAATGCTTTCAAGAAATGTAGGGATGAGGCGCTGGGAAGGTGGCTCAGTGGTAGAGCGCTTGCCTTGCGTGCATGAGGCACTGGGTTCGATTCCTCAGCACCACATAAGCAAAAAAGAAAAAAGCCAGAAGTGGCACTGTGGCTCAAGTCGTAGAGCGCTAGCCTTGAGCTGAAGAGCTGAAGGACAGCGCCCAGGCCCAGAGTTCAGGCCCCACAACCGGACCCCAAAAAAAATGTGGGGATGAAAGAAGCTAAGAAAAAGTTTCCACTAGAATGAAAATTCTCTGCTTTCCTAGTGTCTTAGAGGGTTTACGTGTCCTGAGGAACAAAAGGACCTGTGCTCATCACCTGACCTGTAACCCTCTGCGTGTCACTTTGGTAAGATGGAAGTTCCACATCACAGCTCACCTGAGGAACGCGGGCACTGTTCAGCTAGGCTAGCCTCCCATCCCAGGGCAGGGCCCGGGTCACAAACCCTGGCACTGCAGGTGGGGGTGGGGGTGGGGAGCTTTTCCACAGCTTTAGCGGGCAGTCTGTCCTCAGGACCATGCTCTTTTTTTTTTTTTTTTTTTGTCAGTTGTGGGGCTTGAACTCAGCCTGAGTTCTGTCCTTCAACTCTTCAGCTCCAAGTGAGTGCTCTACCACTTGAGCCACAGCGCCACTTCTGGTTTTCTGGCAGTTAATTGAAGATAAGAGTCATGGACTTTCCTGTCGGGGCTGGCTTTGAACCATAATGCTCAGATCTCAGCCTCCTGAATTGGATTACAGATGTGAGGCACCAGTGCCTGCCTTATTTTTTTTTATCTTGTACTGGCATCTTCCCCTCCCTCATCAATAGGTGTCCAGTTGGAGAATTTGTTTACATACACAACCAAAACATAACTAATTGGTATTGAAAATCCAATAAATGAATTTTAAAACATGCTGGACACAGGAGAAGACACGATTTATGACATTAAGGCTGAGGATGGTGGTGCATCCAGTAATCCAGCAGGATGGCAGCAAGTTGGAGGCTCTCCTGGGCTCTGTACAGAGTAAGATCCTGTCTCCATGGATTTTTTTTTTTAAGATTTATGAGCTTAGGAGAGAGTGATAGACTTCAGAAACGCACGAGAGGGAAAGAAAACACGCATAAAGAAAAGAGCAGAAGGCCGGGCGCTGGTGGCTCACGCCTGTAATCCTAGCTACTCAGGAGGCTAAGATCTGAGGATCGCGGTTCAAAGCCAGCCCGGGCAGGAGAGACCGTGAGACTCCTATCTCCAATAAACCACCAGAAAACCGGAAGTGGCGCTGTAGCTCAAGTGGTAGAGCGCTCGCCTTGAGCTGAAGAACTGAGGGACAGCGCCCAGGCCCAGAGTTCAAGTCCCACGACCGACAAAAAAAGAAAAGAGCAGAAGAGAAATACAGTGCAAATGTAACAGTTCCAGAATGGAAAGGAAAGGACAGAAAGAACGGAATGCAGAACTTCCTAAACCTCTGTTGGTTTCTGAGGAGAGAACGAGGCATCGCCCTCCACTGGTATCAGATGGAGCCGCTAAGATGCCCCACAGGAGCTGGGGGCCGAGGCAGAGGCCTCCCCCACGGCCCACAGCTTACTTTTTGATAGAAAAACGATGAGATCCGGGAGACAGTGGAGTGACTCTTCAGGAGGAAGTCACAGTCTGCTTTAGGTGCTCAATACATCTTTCAAAACTGGATGGTCAGATGGTGGGTGGCAAGCACCTCCATGACCACGCTAACGGGCATCTAGTGATGCTCCAGAGACTACAGAGGAGGTGGTGCCGTGCGGGCCGCTAGGGGTCTCCAGCGCCACAGTTGGTAAGGGAGGGGAGGGGAGGCGAAGGGAAGGTGCCAGAACAAGGCTGAACAAATGGGCCTGAGCACAGACTGCCCACCGGAGCTGTGGAAAAGCCCACACAGTGCGCAGTTTGGAGGTGGTGTGTGGCAGGCTCTGCCCTGAAATGGGGAGGCTAGCCTTGTTGAACGTTAACTCAGAGGACAAAAAGTATGTTGCCATTTTGAGAGAAAGCCTTTTGTTGGGGCTGAGGCCCCATCACAACCAAACACACCTGACCCCTTGCCACAGAGAGTTGGAGAGACGTGGACGGCGGGGTCCTGTGGAATAGTTGGAGCTATGGTGAGCCATGCGTCAGCGTAGATGCAGAGGCTGGGACGGAGGCTCACAGCAGAGGAGGCCAGTCTCTTAGTTTCTGTTTTGTTTGTTTGTTTGTTTTTTGTTTTGGGTCCGGTCGTGGGACCTGAACTCTGGGCCTGGACCCTGTCCCTCAGCTCTTCAGCTCAAGGCTAGCGCTCTACCACTTGAGCCACAGCGCCACTTCTGGCTTTTTTCTTTTTGCTTATATGGTACGGAGGAATTGAACCCAGGGCCTCTGGCATGCAAGGCATGAGCTCTACCACTGAGCCACCTTCCCAGCCCGGCCATTCTCTTAGTAGCAGCCACAGCCCGAGCTGTGGAGAAGTACTGGGTGGCTCACCGCCTCCAGCAGGGGCTGCAGAAGCCGAGCGTGGTGAAGGCGCCGGCGTCCCCTGCCAGGTCACAGCAGAGAGACTGGTGGCCTGAGCCAGGGTAGCAGGGGACCGCTGAGGTCTGGGAAGTCCTTACTGCACAGAGCTCTACCCCTGGCTCTGCAGGTTGATGGCTGTGGCGGAAGAGGAGGGGGGCAGGCAGGGCCCTCCCCCCCCCAGACCTGAAGAGCACCATTTCCACAGTCCTGTGCACCCCAGCTGGTCTAGGAATATATAGAGACACACAAGGGCAGCTAAAAATTCAGCTTTTGTACAAGCTTGTTGCTACTGTATTTGGGTTTGATTGTTTTGATCCTTTATCTAAGGATGGATTTTTTTTTTTAATTTAGTCAGTCAGTCATGGGGCTTGAACTCTGAGCCTGGACACTGTCCCTCAGCAATTCAGCTCAAGGGTAGAGCGCTAGCCTTGAGTCACAGTGCCGCTTACAGGTTCCTGGTGGTTACTGGAGATGAGAGTCTCACGGACTTTCCTGCCCCAGCTGGCTTCAAACTGCGGTCCTCAGATCTCAGTCTCCTAAGTAGCTAGGATGACAGCTGGCATACAGCTTCACGATTTATTTTTATCCTCTGAATATCCAATATATGCTGTTCACTTTTTAGTTTGACTTTTCTGTAGGTCATTTGCCACTCCCATTTACTTTTTTTGTGTGTGTGCCAATCCTGGAGCTTGAACTCAAGGCCTGGCGCTGGTCCCTTAGCATT